CTGGTACATGACTCCTCAGAACCTGGACGCATATTTTCATTACCATTGTTCAATGCAAGTGCAACTTGAATGCTTCTGGCATTGGAACTACAAGTGTCATAAATATTATATCCAAGAGAAATTCCTGGAAGTAGGTCTGATCTGTTATTGATTTCCTCAATGGCAAAACGCATGGCTTGAACAAACTGGAACTCTCTGAAATTTAAACTTGATTTGGACAAATACAATTATTTAAAATATAAATGGTTAAATAAACATTTTCTTCATTAAAGCATTTGATTGAAATTGAAACAATTTTACACATAAGTATAGGGCAAGCTTTGCAATACATGTTGATAGTATACTTTACCCAATGCATTCCAGTGGCAAGGGTTTTTGAGTGTAAGTGTTCTCTCTGTTCTTCCAGCTGCTGTGAAAGTAGAAGATTCCTCCTAACATGATGTCTCCATCCTTAGAGAGCTGAGGGATCTCAGGGTCTCCTCTCTGTTTGCACATTGACTCCTCAGACTGTGAGAAAGACACCAGCAACAACAGCTGTAAAAGTGTACAAACCATCATCTGTGGGTACCTCATGTCTGCATTGTTTCATCTAAATAAGAAAAATCAGCTGGTTGCACCTTATGAACATTAATGCAAATTAAAGATCTAAACTGGTATTTATGAATTTAGAACAAGCATGTACATTAACATAATTGGCTTTTTTAGTAGTGTAGGGGTGTGGCTACAAGAACAGCATTTTAGCATGCTACAAACTTGTTCTGTTCATTGTTTTGTTTTGTTTTTTGTGAAAAAAATCTTCAGATTCATTGACAAGAAAATACTTTTGTTATTTATATCTATTGAAACTAACACAACATCTATGGAAAACATTTCATGAGAAATAACTTGCTGTATTTAAGTCTTGTTTAAAAATACACTTATTCCCTGACCTTCCACCCAGTGTGAGATGATTTTAACCTCACTGTGTTTTTATTATTATAGTCATTCTGTTTTCCTTTACCTCTGTTGATTTATGTATGTTGTCCCATGTCCTTTGCTTGTTTGTTTTATTGTACCGCCCTTTGCTTGGCCTCATTTCTGTTTTTAAGTGTTTTAAAAGTAAAATGATGTGGTTGGTAAAGCATAACTGCATGTAATTGAATGCCAATTAAACTTTACAACTGGCCAAGGACAAACCATTTCACTCACAACATCATTTTGAGACTTTAATCCAGGCTTTCATTACAACTCATCTGGAACATACTGTAATTCATTGTATGTGTGTCTGAGCCAGTCATTACTGACTCGACTTCAGCTGGTTCAGAAAGCTGCTGCTCGCCTTTTAACTGGTACCAGAAACGAGAGCACATCACCGCCGTTTTAGAATCATTACATTGGCTGCCAGTTCATTTCCAAATTAATTTTAAGGTTCTTTAATTTATTTTCATATGTTTCCATGGTCTCGCCTCACAGTATCTGTCTGAACTGGTCCAGCTGTACGTTCCCCCGTGCTCTCTCAGGTCAGCAGATCAGCTGCTGATGCTTGTTCAAAAGTCGAACAGGAAGCAGAGAGTTGACCGAGCGTTCTCGGCCGCTGCCCTTAAACTGTGGAACGAGCTGCCTTTGCACGTCAGACAAGCTGACTCACTTCCTGTTTTTAAATCTTCGCTGAAAACACCTTTTTTGTTTCCCTTTGGCTTTTAACTAAGCTTGAAATGTTGTTTTTTTACTGTTCTTAAGTTGTTTTATTGTTTTTACTGTTTGCTGTTTTATGTTTTTAACATTTCATTACTTTTACAGTTTCCGTTGATTTTTATAGTTTTTTATGCTTGCTTTTATGTGTTATTGTACAACACTTTGGGCAATGGTGTTGTTTTTAAAGTGCTTTATAAATAAAGTTGCATTGTATTGCATTCAGGGCTTAATTTTGGCCAGATCTTGCCAGAACAGGATCCGGGAACTAGAGTTGCGTTCGGGTCCAAGAAATTTGACCCGGCCCCAGCCCATAGCCATCATTTCCAAACACCGGAACCAATGAATTAACAGTAATTACAGGTCCGAATCCGACCCCCCCCCCAACATTTTTTATTAAGCTTTAAATGCTTATATAGTTATCAACGGTCAGCACATGCACACAGCGGAATAAAAGGGGCAAACGATCAGAGCTGAGGGGGTGTTTGTACTTTGTTTGTACTTGTGCAGCTGCTGATTGTATGGTAAGATATTTTTCCATATAATTGGATTGTCAGCTGCGCACAGCCGCTGAAACATTCAAAAGCCCGACAATGGCCCGGCCTGCACATTAAGCACATTATTGTGGTCCGGCCCGGATTCTGGGTTTGGGTTAGAAATGACTGCTCTACCATGAACTCTCTTATTTTGATAGGTTTGCATTCTGGTAACTGTTTGCTTGTATCCGGTAACCATAGACATAAATACACATATATGTCAGTGCTGGTAACTCTCAGGCTTACTAATGATATGAACAAATTTGACTACCTTGAACGAATAAAACCTATATTGGAAATGTAATCTGAAACTAATTACATAAACACTAATTTTAAACATAACAGCCCCTTACAAACTTCCTAATATCACATACGAGCTGCTCCTTCAAGTAAGCATTACTACTTCTACCTTTAAAATAAATCTACACCCCTAAAAGTACAGTGATGACCAATTTAATTATAT